AGTCCGCTGACATCACCCGGCCGGACGAGCGCAAGGTCTGCAAGAACCCAGCCTGCGGGCCCCAGTGGGAGATGTCGGAGTGGTCCGAGGTAGGTCCCCGGGGACTGCTGGCCTGGCAGCGCTGAGGGCGAGCACACGTGCCTGCGCTTCTCCATTCCTTTTCCGACTCGAACTCATCCATGGCCATCAGAGACTCTGCCTTTTAGGACACTGGCTGCAGTCGTTGCATGTGGACCAATGTGCACCAGTAATTTTTTTCCCCTAAAATGAAGCCTTGGGTCCCCTCCAGGATGGGGAGGCCACCGCTGTCGCTCACGGCCTTTGACCGCACGTGAGGTGCTGGCATTGCCCGCTGAGATAGGGCAGGAGCCCATGGCTGGGATCCTCCCACCGCTACTTGCTTGGCAGCCTCTTCGCCCCGCGGTACAACGCGGCAGGGAGGAGATCCCACCTCACATGTGAATTATGTTCCCATAAACTTCCCTTCCTCACCTCCAACTTCACCGCACCACATGGGGAATTAAACCTTTTCCTAGCTATGCCTTAAGCAGATCCCTAAAGCAGTTGGAAGGTGGCTTGGAGCGGTGCAGTGCTGCTTTTGCTTTAGCTCATCGGTTTGCTCAGGAAAACCTGTGAAAGGATTTGTGCCCCTGAATTCATTTCCAGACACGGCCAGCGCTCTGGCACATCGCTTGCGAACATAAACCCATGGAAACGACCAAACCAGTGCCGCTTCCTTGGGAGCTGGGGCCGGTCTCCGAGCTCGGGTGGCTTGGGAGCCAGTCCCCTGGCTGCCACCGGCGTGGCACTGGATTGACACTCGTGGTGCAGGGAGGGGGACCCAGCGTGGCTTGCATCGAACGTATAAAACACATGGAGGGGTATAAGTATGCACCTGTGCATTGCTATGTCTTCTGGAAGCGGGCGTGCATGGGGAGAGTGAGATTTTGGGTCTGTGTCCGTCTCCGAGCTCGCCCAGGGGGCCACCGCCAGCCCCCCGCGATGGTGACGGCTGCGCGCGGAGCGTGGCATTTGTGCCCTGCTCATTGACTCTCCGCAAAGGAGCAAATGTTGTTCCTGCTCCCAAATCAGGCCCAAAGCCCTTCTAAGCAAGAGCAGACTGAGCTCCGAGCCAAGCTGTCCGCGGGTGCGAACCTGCCTCCCAGTTTACACCACGAGGGATTGGATTCTTCCTCCTGGGAAGCTCCCAAAACGCTTCTTGGTCATAATTTAAATGTCTCTTTTCCTCTTCGAGCTGGGGTGAGTCGTTTCCCTCAAGCCGATGGAGGGGCTGGCATGTTCCCTGGTGTTGCAGGATGTTTTGACTTTCCCAGCTGGGTAGAGAGGAGCTCCCAGTGCACGTGCTGGCGCGTTATTTTGACTGGCGTAGCAAACCAGAGTGGCTTATTTTACAGAAATCTGTATTCTCCTCCAGCATGTGTCAGGGACAGATTGCTTGAGACAGTCCTGGAGTAGTTCGTTCTTAGCCAGCAGCAAAGCTAATCTCGTTTGGATCCCATCTGAAGCAGGGTGCCAAGTTGGCTGGGGAAATAGGCATTAAAAAAAAGCATATTTCGGGGATCTGAGGATTAACATATCAGCGCGGTTTGTCTGAGCACTGTGCTGTTGACACTCTTCCCTGCTTTACGTTATGCATGGAGCAAATGTGTGTATGTGAGACTGTAGTAACTCAAATCCAGTTCTAAATAATGTCACGGGGCTGCGCGGTGCCAAATTTATCCACAGCATAAAAATCTCAGCTGTGCAGTTTGGGGAAAATGTTCTCCAAAGCGGTGGAAGGGAGCTGGCTGTTCCTGGGAAGGAGGCGAGGGAGATCTCACCCCGTCTCTGAGCGGGGGCACTTAGATCAGCTCTGATCAGGCATTTTTGGTGCCTTGGGTTTTCACGCTCTGGCATCTGGCATCACCTGGCGGAGAGCTTGCACAGCACCCGGGCAGGATACAGCCCTCCTGCACCTTAACCTGACTGCCGAAGCTGTTGAAGGGTTTTGGGGGAAGAGGGACGGCTTTGCTACGGATTGTTTCACAGTCACCTATGCATTGTCAGTGTGTGTTTTTAGAGTTTCATGTTAAAAATGTAAAAAAAAAACCCAGAAAGCAGGTCCCAGTTCCCATCACAGGGGGAGCCCCTGCTGACGCCGTCCCCCCTGTCCCCTCCCGGCAGTGCTCAGCCCGGTGCGGAGAACGGAGCGTGGTGACACGGGACATCCGCTGCTCGGAGGACGAGAAGCTGTGCGATGCCAGCGCCCGGCCCCTGGCCGAGAAGAACTGCACCGGACCACCCTGCGACCGGCAGTGGACCGTCTCCGATTGGGGACCGGTGAGACCCCGGGCCCGCCGAGTGGCCATCGTGACCCGTTGCCGCTGGCCCTGCTTGCTGGCTTGCTTGTGTCTCCAGCGCTGGGAGTTTTGGGGTCAGACTCGTCCTCCCCAGCAGCTCCCAGCCTCGCCCCCCCCAGCAGCTCCCAGCTCCGACAGACCTGCAGGCAGCCCGCACCCGACCTCCAAACGATTTGGCCGCTTCGGCTCTCCCAGTCCCCGTGTCACCTCAGGTCTCTGTCTCGTCACCAGAACTTGCCCTCCAGCAGGTCGCCCGGCTCCGTGCCTGGGGCAGCACCGGGGTTTGGGGTGTTTGTGAGCACCGAGCCCTCCTTTCACAAGGTTCCTCCTTGTGCAGGGCAGGGATGAGCTGCTGGATGGGCTCCGGCTCCGGGGGTGATCCAGCACCCCGGGGGGTCCCACGGCTTCCCGGCAGGTCCTCCCTGGAGCTCCTCTCTCGTGGGGAGCGAGGTGCAGGAGGGGTTAAACCCCGAG